TCTTCTAGACTGGGCCTCAGCGTCATGCCATTGTACTTGATATTTAAGTCATCACCGCTCCTCAAGGCAATATAATGTAGGCCTAATCTGCCAATTCCATATATATATATAGCAAAGATAGTCATATGCTCAAAACAAGTCAAACAGAAACACCGTTTGGGAGAATATTTCAATTCCAGAGGCTCCATGGCCCTCCACCTCTTCACAGTCCTTTGTTTTTGGGATAGCAGCTTATTTCTAGACCATATTCTGGCAGAAGAGGAGTCAAAAAAGGCATGTCAAAGAGGAAACTGATACTTCCACTGGGATGCCTCTTCCCAAAGAAATTTTTTCCAAATACATCCTGAGGAGACAATGCATGACAGTTGGGACCTCTTTTTTCTTGGAAAGTGTGCTATCCCCATGGATCAGGATCCAAAGAACACAGCATACCAGGGTTCAGGATGATACATATTGGATGTGCGTCCTCTCATATATCACACAATGAAGCAGCCTACAGTGCAATATTTGGGCATTGTGTGCAATATTTGGAATGTTTGTATCTAGCATGCTGCTTTTAATCATTTAGTTTTCACTGCTCGAACTTTCAAGAGTTTTCATGAATTCACAAGTGGATATCATATCTACTTCTTAGTTTGTGTCCCCTGTCAATATGACTGGAGCCCTCTCTTCTTGTTTGGATCATCCTTCCACATTCCCTGATTCCTAAGAAGAAGTGCAACTAAGGCCAATGTCTAGCACAAGTTGATCAAAAGAACGCTGTAGCATGTATTCATGACCTGCCTCTCTAGCATCTCTCATGTTCGACAAAATCCTCTTCTCCCTGAGTTTAGAGGAGACCACGGACTTTATCAAACACCAGGCTTAGAGCATCTGTGGACTCTCATTTCTCCAGTCTCATACAGTTCCCCAGTGAAAAGGTATTCATATTGTTTCAGAATCATTTTGGTTCCAGAATGGGTTTTTGTTCAGAATCCCATGTCTAAGTGGCCCACAGGGTCATATGAATTATGGTCATGACTCGAATCCCAGTCATGCTCTCTCGTATCGTGGTGCATGCCATCCATCCAGCGTGGGCAGAATATTTCATTGAGGGACATAAATAGAGATTTTGTGGTATGGAAATAGTGGTTAAAGTGCCTGGATTTTGTGAAAGAGGTCAAGACAATACAATCGAATTTGCCTTTTTCATGGAGAAGTGCTTCCTCAGGTTAGAGCACCCCTGGATAGCCTATCCAGCTTATACTGCTCCACCACCAGAGCAATGTCAGGGTAATCCTGAAGCTCATGTCAGTTTGCACACCCTCACCTAAGATTGTCCTCAGTGTAACTCTATTGTGCAAGACTTTTAAGACAACACCTGTCTATAGACAAGACATAAATTTAATCACTGACCAAGTTAAGCATCCTCCTTTGTTTCCTCCCTTTGAAAGAGGCCCCTAGCCTCACCACAAGTAACTGAATGTGACCAGATTAGTGGAGACTATTTGACTTTGTGAGGAAATGAGGCCAGGCACCTGGTTGAAGACCTTCATCCAGAGACTAACAGTTATTCCCAAGGACTTCTCTGAAGAAGGGATCCCTGTGAGAAAGAGGAGTACAGCTTGCATGAACAAGCTGTCTACTACCTCCCTAAATTTGCTGTCTCAAACCCTCGATTCATCCACATCGTGATGAAATTAGATACCTACTCATGTGGAGTCTTTCCTGTAGGCTTAGTTAGAAGTTCCTCCAAGAATGGAGTGAAGTCCAGACAGCGCACTTATGATATAGCTTGGACAGGCCTCCCTTAGAGTCTCATGTGGGAAAGAGTTCATAATTCTAAAAGATGGATTTCCAAGGCAAAGCTTGGTTATGGGGCATTTTGACAGGGATTTAACCTGTGTCTCCTCATATCTTGAGTTCTGAAGAAAGGTGTTGGTAGGAAAAATGTTGGACATTATTTTTTGAGTGGTGTACCCCATCACATCAGCAGAACAGTGGATTCACTTTGCTCTGTTCCATGATTCAAATCTCTCTAAGTTTCCAGAAAGGGCCCAGCAGAGGACATGGTCATTCACATTGTGAGCCACATTTAATAATAATTTAATAATAATCACATTTAATAGCCACATTTAATAATAATCACATTTAATAATACATTGAGTATTATTAAACAAGAATGATCTCTAAGGAAAGATAATCTCTCTTTCCTTAGAGCAGGACAAAAGTGTATTCACCCTCCATTTGAAAAAGAATCGGCCGGGCTCGGTGGCTCAGCCTGCAATCCCACGCCTTTGGGAGGCTGAGTTGAGTGGATTGCCTGAGCCCGCGGGTTCGAGACCCGCCTGGGCAGTGAGACCTCACCTCTACAATAAATCAAAAAATCAGCTGGGCATGGTAGCGCATGCCTGTAATTCCGGCTACTTGGAAGGCTGAGGCGGAAGGATCACCGGAGCCCGGTAGGTCGAGGCTGTGGTGGCCGGAAGTGGCCACTGCACTCCAGTCTGGGCAATAGAGTGAGACTCCAACTCAAAAAAAAAAAAACGAAAAGAAAAAGAATCATGTGGCTCCCAGAACAGCATGCCAAGATTATCTCGAGGCATCTTTTTGCTCTGTTTCAAAAGTGTCTTGAGAGAAAAACTGCATGCATTGCAGAAGGTCCAGTTTGCCTTCCAGACCAAGACATCTCCTTGAATGATGACCCTTGGTGACTGGTAAAGCATTGGTCATGACAGCCAATCAAAGTCAAGCACTCCTTTATGAAGGTGCATGCCATGCAGCCATTCTGAGCAGAATTTTCCACTGAAAGACACAAAGTGTGATTTGGTGATCAGCAAGGGATGCTAAAATGGCCAGGACTTGGGTTGAGGATTAAAGTATAAGAAAAACATGGGGAATTTTATGGAGTAGCATATCCACATGCTCCACAAGATGGCCCCCTGTACTTGAAGTTCTCCAGCACCAAACTAGAATGTACCGAAGGGTCCATCATCATTTTCCCTATGTTCGATTATGCAACTGTCTTCTAGCCTGGGCCTCAGCGTCATGCCATTGTACTTGATATTTAAGTCATCACCACTCCTCAAGGCAATATAAAGTACTTATCATTGACCCAACAATAGTATCTGCCAATTGCATATATGTAGCAAGGACAGTCATATGCTCACCACAAGTCAAGCAGGAATACGTTTGGAGAATATTTCAATTCCAGAGTATCCATGGCCATCCACCTCTTTCCAGCCCTTTGTTTTTGGATTAGTAGCTTATTTCCAGGCTACTTTCTGGTGGAAGAGGAGTCAAAAACGATGTGACAAAGAGGAAGCTGATACTTCCACTGGGAGGCCTCTTCCCACAGACCTTTCTTCCAAATACATCCTGATGAGACAATACATGTCAGGTGGGATCTCTTTTTTTTGGCAAAGTGTGCGATCCCCATGGATCAGGATCCAAAGAACACAGCATACGAGGGTTCAGGGTGACACATATTGCATGCATGCCCTCTCATATCTCAAGTAATGAAGCAGTCTATAGTGTAATAATTGGGTTTCTCGTGCAATATTTGGAATGTTTGTATCTAGCCTGCTGCTTTTAATCAGTGGGTTTTCACTATTTGAGCTTTCAAGAGTGCTCATGAATTCACAAGTGGATGTCATATCTACTTCTTAGTTTGTGTCCCCTCTCAATATGACTGGAGCCCTCTCTTCTTGTTTGCCTGATTCCTAATAAGATGTGTAATAAGGCCATCGTCTGGCTCAAGTTGAGTGAAAGAATGCTTTAGCATGTATTCATGGCCTGCCTCTCTCATTTCTTTCTTACTTGACAAAATCCTCTTCTCCCTGAGTTTAGAGGAGACCGTGGACATCATCATACACCAGGCTTAGAGCATCAGTGGACTCTCATTGCTCCAATCTCATATGGTTCTCAAGAGAAAAAGTTCTCATATTGGTTCAGAATCATTTTGGTTCCAGAATTGCGATTCCCATGCCTAAGTGGCCCACAGGGACTTATGAATGATGGTCATGATTCCCAATCCTAGTCATAATCTCTCGTAGCATGGTGCATGACATCCATGTAGCATGTGCAGAATATTTCATTGAGAGACACAAATAGAGAATTTGTGGTATGGAAGGAGTGGTTAAAGTGTCCGGCTTTGGTGAAAGGGCCAAGACTTTACAATCGAATTTGTCTATTTCATGGAGAAGTGCTTCCTCAGGGTAGAGCACTCCTGGATAGCCTATCCAGCTTATAGTGCTCCACCACTACAGCAATGTCAGGACGATCCTGAAGCTCATCTCAGTTTGCACACCTGTTACCTAAGTTTGTCCTCTGTGTAACTCTATTGCATAAGACTTTTAATGCCAAACCTCTCTAGAGACAAGACAACGATTTTATGCCTGACCCAGTTAAGCAACCTCCTTTGCTGCCTCCTTTTGAAAGAGGCCCCTTGCCTCACCACATGTAAGAAAATGTGACCAGATTACTGGAGATTATTTGCTTTTTGAGGAATTGAGGCCAGACACCCGAGTGATGTCCTTCATCCAGAGACTAACAGTTATTCCCACAGACTTCTCTGAAGAAGGGATCCCTGTGAAAAAGAGGAGAACATCTTGCGTGAACAAGCTGTCTACTACTTCCCTTATTTTGCTGTCTCATACACTCAATTCATCCACATAATGATGAAATAATATACCTACTCATGTGGAGTCTTTCCTGTAGGCTGAGGAAGAAGTTCCTCCATGAATGGATTCAAGTCCAGAGAGGGTACTTTTGATATATCTTGGATATTCCTCCCTTAGTATCTCTGATGGGAAAGTGTTCCTCATTCTCAAAAATGGATTTCTGTAGCAAATCTTGGATATGGGGAATTTTGCCAGGGATTTAAGTTGTCTGTTCTCATATCTTGAGTTCTCAAGAAAGGTGTTGGTAGTAAAAATGTTGGACAGTAATTTTTGAGTTATTTGTCCCCTCAGATCAGCAGAGTAGTGGATTCTTTTGGCTCTGTGTCACCATTCAAACCTCACTAAGTTTCCAGAAAAAGCCCAGCAGAGGACATGGTCATTCACATCGTGAGTCACAAATATATTGATTATTATTAAACAAGAATGAATATCGCTTTCCTTAGAGCAGGACAAAAGTGTATTCGCCCTCTGTTTGAAAAAGAATCATGGGGATTCTAGAACAGCATGCCAAGATTATCTCAAGATGCCTTTTTGTCCTGTTTCAACAAATGCTTGAGAGAAAAACTGCATGCATTGCTGAAGGTCCAGCTTCCCTTCAGACCAGAAACACCTCCTTGAATGATGTCTCTCAGTGACTTGTAAACCATTGATCATGACAGCCAATCGAAGTGAAGCACTCCTTTATGAAGGTGCATGCCATGAAGCCATTCTGAGCAGAATTTTCCACTGAAAGACACAAAGCGTGATGTGGTGATCAGCAAGGGATGCTAAATTGGTCAGGACCTTGGTTGAGGATTAAAGTTTAAGAAAAATGTGGGACTTCATCTCTACAATAAATCTAAAAAAAAAAAGAAATTAGTTGGGCGTGGTAGTGTGTGCCTGTATTTCCAGCTACTTGTAAGGCTGAGGTGAAAGGATCGCCGGAGCCCAGCAGGTCTAGGCTGTGGTTGCCGGGAGCAACCACTGCACTCCAGTCTGGGCAACAGAGTGAGACTCCAACTCAAAAAAAAAAAAAGAAAAGAAAAACGTGGGGAATTTTATGGAGTAGCATATCTACATGCTCCACAAGATGGACTCCTGTACATCAGGTCCTCCAGCACCAAATTAGTTCATACCTAAGGGACCATCATCATTCTCCCCATGTTTGATTACACAACTGTCTTCTAGGCTGGGCTTCAGCATCAGGTCATTGTACTTGATATTTAAGTCATCACCACTCCTCAAGGCAATATAAAGAACTCATCATTGACCCAACAATAGTATCTGCTAATTCCATATATGTAGCAAGGACTGTCATATGCTCACCACAAGTCAAGCAGGAACACCCTTTGGGAGAATATTTCAATTCCAGAGGATCTGTGGCCATCCACCTACTTACAGCCCTTTGTTTTTGGAATAGTAGCTTATTTCCAAGCCAGTTTCTGGCAGAAGAGGAGTCAAATACGGCTTGCCAAAGAGGAAACTTATACTTTCAGTGGGAGGTCTCTTCCCACAGACCTTTCTTCCAAATACATCCTGATGAGACAATACATGTCAGTTGGGACCTCTTTTTTCTGGCAAAGTGTTCGATCCCCATGGATAAGGATCCAAAGAACACAGGATACCGGGTTCAGGGTGATACATATAGATGCACACCTTCTCATATCTCAAGTTATGAAGCGGTATACAGTGTAATAATTGGGTTTCTTGTGCAATATTTGGAATGTTTGTTTCTAGCCTGCTGCTTTTAATCAGTGAGTTTTCAACGCTTGAGCTTTTAAGAGTGTTCATGAATTCACAAGTGGATATCATATCTACTTCTTAGTTTGTGTCCCCTCTCAACATGACTGGAACCCTCTCTTCGGGTTTGCATCACCATTCCACATTCCTTGATTCCTAAGAGATGTGCAACTAAGGCCATAGTCTGGAATAAGTTAAGCAAAAGAATGCTTTAGCATGTATTCATGACCTGCCTCTCTATTTTTCTCATGCTAGACAAAATCCTCTTCTCCCTGAGTTTAGAGGAAATCATGGACATTATCATAAACCAGGCTTAGAGCATCTGTGGACTCTAATTGCTCCAGTCTCATACGGTTCTCAAGAGAAAAGGTACTCATATTGGTTCAGAATCATTTTGGTTCCAGAACTCAGATTCCCATGTCAAAGTGGCCCACAGGGACTTATGAATGATGGTCATGACTCCCAATCTCAGTCATGCTCTCTCGTAGCATGCTGTGTGCCATCCATCCAGCATGGGCAAACTATTTCCTTGAGAGACACAAATACAGAATTTGTGGTATGGAAGGAGTGGTTAAAGTGCCCAGCTTTTGGGAAAGGGCCAAGACATCACAATCTAATTTGCTATTTCATGGAGAATTGCTCCCTTAGGGTGGAGCACCCCTGGACAGCCCATCCAGCTTATAGTGCTCCATCACTACAGCAATGTCAGGGCAATCCTGTAGCTCATGTCAGTTTATACACCTGTCACCTAAGATTGTCCTCAGAGTAACTCTATTGTGCAAGACATTTAAGACAACACCTCTCTAGAGATAAGTCAAAGATTTCATGCCCCTCCCAGCTAAGCATCCTGCTTTGCTGCCTCTTTTTGAAAGAGGCCCATAGCCTCACCACTATTAACCCAATGTGACTAGATTCCTGGAGACTATTTGACTTTGTGAGGAAATAAGGCCAGGCACCTGGGTATGTCCTTCATCCAGAGACTAACAGTTATTCCCAAGAACTTCTCTGAAGAAAGTAACCCTGTGAAAAAGAGAAGGACAGCTTCCATGAACAAGCTGTCTACTACCTCCCTAATTTTGCTGTCGCATACACTAGATTCATCCACATAATGATGAAATTAGATACCTACTCATGTGGAATCTTTCCTGTAGGCTGAGACGGAAGTTCCTCCATGAATGGTGTCAAGTTCAGACAGGGTACTTTTGAAATAATGAGGACATGCCTCTCTTAGTATCTCAGGTGGGAAAGAGTTCCTTATTCTCAAAGATGGGTTTCCATAGCAAGCTTGGTTATGGGGCATTTTGCCAGGGATTTAACATGGGTGGTCTTATATCTTGATTTCTGAAGAAAGGTGGTGGTAGGCAAAATATTGGACAGTAATTTTTGAGTTGTGTGTCCCCTCACATCATCAGAGTAGTGGAACTCTTTGCTCTGTGCCACCATTCAAACCTCTCTAAGTTTCCAGAAAGGACCCAGCAGAAGACATGGACATTCACATCATGAGCCACAGATACATTGATTATTATTTAACAAGAATGAATCTCTCTTTCCTTAGAGCAGGCCATATTGTATTCACCCTCCATTTGAAAAAGAATCATGGGGCTCCTAGAACACCATACCAAGAATTTCTCATAGCGCCTTTTTGTCCTGTTTCAACAATGCCTTGAGAGAAAAACTGCATGCATTGCTGAAGGTCAAGCTTGTCTTCCAGAGCAAGAACACCTCCTTGAATGATGACCCTCGGTGTCTCGTAAACCATTGGTCATGACAGCCAATCAATGTCAGGCACTCCTTTATGATGGTGCATGCAATGCAGCCATTCTGAGCGGAATTTTCCACTGAAAGACACGAAGTGTGATATGGTGATCAGCAAGGGATACTAAAATGGCCAGAACCTGGACTGAGGATTAAAGTATAAGAAAAACATGAGGTATTTTATGGAATAGTATATCTACATGCTCCAGGAGATGGCACCCATATGTCAAGTCCTCCAGTGCCAATCTATATCGTACCGAAGGGACCATCATCATTTTCCCCATGCTGGATTATGCAACTATATTCTTGGCTGGGCCTCAGCATCAGGTCATTGTGCTTTATATTTAAGTCATCACTGTTCCTTAAGGCAATATAAAGTACTCATCATTGACCCAAATATAGTATCTGCCAATTCCATATATGTAGCAAAGACAGTAATATTCTCACCACAAGTCAAGTAGGTACAGCGTTTCAGAGAATATTTAAATTACAGAGGATCCGTGGCCATCCACCTCATTACAGCCCTTTGTTTTGGGGATAGCAGCTTATTTTCAGGCCAGTTTCTGGCAGAAGAGAAGTCAAAAATGGCGTGTCAAAAAGTAAACTTATACTACCAATGCGAGGCCTCTACCCATAGACCTTTCTTCCAAATACATCCTGTCGAAACAATATATATCAGTTTGAACCTCTTTTTTCTGGCAAAGTGTGTGATCCCCATGGATCAGGATCCAAAGAACACAGCATGCCATGGTTCAGGGTGATACATATTGGATGTGCGTCCTCTCATATCTCAAGTAATGCAGTGGTCTACAGTGTAATAATTGGGTTTCTTGTGCAATATTTGCAATGTTTGTATCTAGCCTGCTGCTTTTAATCAGTGAGTTTTCACCGCTTGAGCTTTCTAGAATGTTCATGAATTCACAAGTGGATATCATATCTACTTCTTTGTTTGTGTCCCCTCTCGTTATGACTGGAGCCCTCTCTTCTTGTTTGCATCACCAATCCACATTCCCTAATTCCCAAGAAGATGTGCAACTAATGCCATCATCTGGCACAAGTTGAGCGAAAGAATGCTTTAGCATGCATTCATGGCCTGCCTCTCTAATTTCTCGCATGCTCAACAAAATCCTCTTCTCCCTGAGTTTAGAGGAGACTGTGGACACCATCATGCACCAGGCTAGGAGCATCTGTGGATTCTCTTTGCTCCAGTCTCATATGGTTCTCAAAAAAAAATGTACTCATATTGGTTCAGAATCATTTTGGTTACAGAATTGAAAGTTCCATGCCTAGGTGGCATACCAGGACTCATGAATTATGGTCATGACTCCCAATCCCAGTCATGCTCTCTCGTAACATGTTGCATGCCACTCATCCAGCATGGGCAGAATATTTCTTTTAGAGACACAAATAGAGAATTTGTGGTATGGAAAGTGTGGTTAAAGTGCCTGGCTTTTCGGAAAGGGCCAAGACATTACAATCAAATTGGCCTATTTCATGGAGAAGTATTCCTCAGGGTGGAGCACCCCTGGATAGCCTATTTGGCTTATAGTGCTCCACCATTAGTGCAATGTCAGGGCAATTCTGAAACTCACATCAGTTTGCACACCTGTCACCTAAGATTGTCCTCAGTGTAGCTCTATTGCACAAGACTTATAAGGCAACACCTCTCTAGACAAGACAAAGATTTCATGCCTGACCCAGTTAAGCATCCTCCTTTGTTGCCTCCTTTTGAAAGAGGCCAATACCCTCACCACACGTAACTGTTGTGACCAGATTACTGAAGAATATTTGACTTTGTGAGGAACTGAGACCAGGCAACTGGGTGACGTCCCTCATCCAGAGACTAACAGATATTCTCAAGGACTTCTCTGAAGAAGGGATCCCTGTGAAAAAGAGGAGGACAGCTTGCGTGAACAAGCTGTCTACTACCTCCCTAAGTTTGCTGTCTCATATGCTCGATTCATCCAAATAAAGATGAAATTAGGTTCCTACTCATGTGGAATCCATCCAGTAGGCTGAGATAGAAAGTCCTCCATGAATTCAGTCAGGCCCAGACAGGGTAGTTTAGATGCAACTTTCACATGCATCCCTTAATATCAGATGAGAAGTGTTCCTCATTCTCAAAGATGGGTTTCTGTATCGAAGCTTGGTTATGGGGCATTTTGCCAGGGATTTCATATGTGTGTTCCCATATCTTGAGTTCTGAAAAAATTTTGTGATATGAAAAACGCTGGACAATAATTTTTGAGTTGTATGCCTGCTCACATCAGGACACCAGTGGATTCTCTTTGCTCTGTGCCACCATTAAATCTTCTCGATGTTTCCAGAAGGGGCCCACTAGAGGACATGGCCATTTACATCGTGAGCCACATACATTGATTATTATCAAACAAGCATGAACCTCTCTTGTCTTAGAGCAGGACAAAAGTGTTTTCACCCTCCATTTGAAAAAGATGCATGGGTCACCTAGAACAGCATGCCAGGAGAATCTCAAGGCTCCTTTTTGTCCTGCTTCAATCATGCCTTGAGAGAAAACTGCATGTATTGCTGAAGGTCTATCTTGCCTCAGAAACCCAGAACATCTCCTTGAATGATGACCCTCGGTGACTGGTAAACCATTGGTTATGAAAATCAATCGAAATCATGCACTCCTTTTTGATGGTGCTGGCCATGCAGCCATTCTCAGTAGAATTTTCCACTGAAAGTCACAAAGTGTGATGTGGTGATTAGCAAGGGACACGAAAATGACCAGGATCTGGGATGAGGTTTAATGTATAAGGATAACATGGAGAATTTAATGGAGTAGCATATCCATATGCTCCACAAAATGGCCTCCCGTAACAAACTAGATCGTACTGAAAGGACCATCATCATTTTCCCCATGTTGGATTACAAAACTGTCTTCTAGGCTGGGCCTCAGCGTCATACCATTGTACTTGATATTTAAGTCAACACTGCTCCTCAAGGCAATATAAAGAACTCATCGTTGACCCAACAAAAGTATCTGCCAATTGCATATATGCAGCAAGGACAGTCATATGCTTACCACAAGTCAAGCAGTAACAGCGTTTGAGCGAATATTTCAAATCCAGTGGATCCGTGGTCCTCCAACTCATTACAGTCCATGGCTTTTGGGATAGCATCTTATTTCCAGGCCATTTTCTGGTAGAAGAGGAGTCAAAAATGGGGTGTCAAAAAGGAAACTGATACTTCCACTGGGAGGCCTCTTTACACAGATCTTTCTCCTAAATACATCCTGACAAGACAATACATATTAGCTGGGACTTATTTTCTGCAAAGTGTGCAATCTCCATGGATCAGGATCCAAAGAATGCAGCATATTCAGGGTTAAGGGTGATACATATTGGATGCGTGTCCTCTCATATCTCAAGTTATCAAGCAGTCTACGGTGTAATAAGAGGATTTCTTAGGCAATATTTCGAATGTTTGTAACTAGCCTGCTGCTTTTAATGAGTGAGTTTTCATCACTTCATCTTTCAAGTGTGTTGTTGAATTCACAAGTGGATATCATATCTACTTCTTAGTTTGTGAACCCTCTCAATATGCCTGGAGGCCTCTCTACTTGTTTGCATCACCATTCCACATTCCCTATTTCTTAAGAAGATGTGAAACTAAGGTCATCGTCTGCCACAAGTTGAGCGAAAGAATGATTTAGCATGTGTTCATTGCCTACCTCTCCTGTTTCTCTCATGCTAGACAAAATCCTCTTCTCCCTGAGTTTAGAGGAGACCATGGACATCATCCAACACCAGGCTTAGAGCATCTGTGTACTCTCATTGTTCCAGTCTCATACAGGTATCAAGAGAAAAGGTACTCATATTGGTTCAGAATTCATTTTGGTTCCAGAATTGAGAGTCCCATGTTTAAGTGTCCCACAGGAACTTATGAATGATGATCATGAATCCCAATCCCTGTCATGCTCTCTCATGGCATGTTGCATGCTCTCTATCCAGCGGGAGCATAATATTCCATTGAGAGACACAAATAGATAATTTGTGATATGGAAGGCATGGTTAAAGTGCCCGGCTTTTGTGAAAGGGGTCAAGACATGACAATTGAATTTGCCAATTTCATGGAGAACTGCTTCCTCAGGGTGTGGTCCCCCTGAATAGCCTATCCAGCATAGAGTGCTCACAACTAGAGCAATGTTAGGACAATCATCCAGCTCACGTCAGTATGCATACCTGTTACCTAAGAAGAGCCTCAGCATAACTCAATTGCACAAGATTTTAAGACAACACCTCTCTTGAGACAGGAAAAAGATTTCATCACAGACTCAGCTAAGCATCCTCCTTTGCTGCCTCTTTTTGAAAGAGGCACATAGGCTCATCACAATTAACCCAATGCACCAGATGACTGGAGAGTATTTGACTTTGTGAGGACATGGGGCCAGGCACCTGGATGATGTCCTTCATCCAGAAAATAATAGCTATTCTCAAGGATTTCCCTGAAGAAGGGATTCCTGTGAAAAAGAGGACAACAGCTTGAGTGAACAAGCTGTCTAATATTTCCCTAAATTTGCTGTCTCATACAATTGGTTCATTCATACATGATGAAATTAGATACCTACTAATTTGGAATCAGTCCAGTAGACTAAGAAGTTCCTCCATAAGTGGAGTAAAGTCCAGACAGGGTACTTTTGATGCAGCTGGGATATACTACCCTTAGTATCTCAGGTGGGAAACAGTTCCTCATAATTAAAGATGGATTTCTGTAGAAAGTCTTGGTTATGGGGTATTTTGTCAGGGATTTAACCTGTGTGTTCTCATATTTTGAGTTCTGAAGAAAGGCGGTGGTATGAAAAATGCTGGACAGTAATTTTTGAGTTGTGTGCTCCCTCACATCAGGAGACCATGGATTTTCTTTGCTCTGTGCCACCATTCAAACCTCTTGAATTTTTCAGAAGGGGCCAACAGAGGACATGGTCATTCACATCGTGAGTCAAAGATACATTGATTATTGCTAAACAAGCATGAATCTCTTTTTCCTTAGAGCAGGACAAAAGTGTTTTCACCCTCCATTTGGTAAAGAAGCATGGGGCTACTAGAACAGCATGCCAAGAGCATCTCAAGGTGCCTTTTTTTCCTGTTCAAACATGCCTTGAGAGAAAAACTGCATGCATTGCTGGAGACACAGCTTGCCTCACAGACCAAGAAAACCTTCTTGAATGGTGACCCTCGGTGACTGTTAAACTTTGGTCATGACAACCAATCAAATTCATGCACACCTTTATGACGGTGCATGGCATGCAGCCATTCTGAGCGGAAATTTCCACTGAAAGACACAAAGCATGATGTGGTGATCAACAAGGGATGCTAAAATGACCAGGAACTGGGATGAGGATTACAGTAAAAGGATAACATGGGGAATTTTATGGAGTAGTATATTCACATGCTCCACATGATGGCCTCCCATAAGTCAAGTCCTCCATTAACACACTAGATCATAACGAAGGGACAATAATCATTTTCCCCATGTAGGATTGCACAACTGTCTTTGATGCTGAGCCTCAGCGTCATGCCATTGTACCTGATATTTGAGTCATCACCGCCCCTAAAGCCAATATAAACTACTCATCATTGACCCAAGAAAACTATCTGTCAGTTCCATGTATGTGGCAAGGACAGTCATATGCTCACCACAAGTCAAGCAGGAAAAACACTTGGGAGAATATTTCAATTCCAGAGGATCCGTGGTCATCCATCATGTTACAGCCCTTTGTTTTTGGGATAACAGCTTATTTCCAGGCCAATTTCTGGCAGAAGAGGAGTCAAAAATGGTGTGTCCAAATGGAAATTGATATTTCCACTGGGAGGACTCTTCCCACAGACATTTCTTCCAAATACATCCTGATGAGACAATTCAATTCAGTTGGGGCATCTTTTTTTTTCTGGCAAAGTGTGTAATCCCCATGGATCAGGAGACAAAGAACACAACACACCCAGGGTTCAGGGTGGTACATAATGGATCTGTGTCCTCTCATATTTCAAGAGGTCTATGGTGTAATAATTGGATTTCTAGGGCAATATCTGGAATGTTTGTGTCTAGCCTGCTGCTTTTAATCAGTGAATATTCAGCACTTGCCCTTTTAAGCGTGTTGATGAATTGACAAATGAATATCTTATCACTTTGTTTTTGTCCCTGATCAATATGACTGGAGACCACGCTACATGTTTGTGTCACCATTCCACATTACCTGATTCCTAAGAAGATGTTCAACTAAGGCCATCATCTGGCACAAGTTGAGCAAAAGAAGGCTTTAGCATGTATTCAAGGCCTGCCTCTCTAAGGTTGTCACATCCTCGGCAAAATTTTCTTCTCCTTGAGTTCAGAGGAGAACACGGACATCATCAAACACCAGGCTTAGTGCGTCTGTGGACATTCATTGCTCTAGTCTTCTATGTGTCTGAAGAGAAAAGGTCCTCACATTGGTTCAGAATTCCTTTGCCTCCAAAACTGAGAGTGCCATGCCTAACTGGTCGCCATGTATTTATAAATTATGATCATTGATCCCAATCCCAGTCATGCCCTCATAGCATGGTGCGTGCCATCGATCCAGCATGTGCAGAATATTACATTGAGAGACACAAATAGGGATTTTGTGGTATGGAAGATGTGGTTAATACGCCCGGTTTTTGTGATGGGAGTGAAGACATTACAGTCGAATTTACCAATTTCACGGAGAACTGCTTCCTCAGGGTGGAGTCCACCTGGATAGTCTATCAAGCTTAGAGTGCTCCACAGCTAGAGCAATGTCAGGACAATCCTCCCTCTCATGCCAGTATGTACTCCTGTCATCTCTGAAGGTCCTGATCATAACTTTATTGTGCAAGACATTTAAGACACCTCAGTAGAGACAAGACAAAGATTTCATCACTGACCCAGCTAAGCATCCTCCTTTGCTGCATCCTTGTGAAAGAGGCCCATAGGCTCATCAGAAGTAACCAAATACAATCAAAATAGTGAAGATTACTTGACTTTGTGAGGACATGAGGGCAGGCACCTAGAAAACAAAAAATTAACAGTTATTCTGTAGGACTTCCTTGAAGAAGGAAACCCTCAGAAAAGGAGGACAGCTTGAGTGAACAAGCTGTCTAACATCTCCCTAATTTTGCTCTCTTAAACAATCGGATAATTCACACAATGATGAAATTAGACACCTACTCATGTGGAATCCATCAAATAGACTGAGACAAAAGTTTCTCAATGAATGGAGTCAGTTCCAGAAAGGGTACTTTTGATACAGCTTGGACATGCCTCCCTTGGTATCTGGGGTGGGAAAGAGTTCCCCCTTCTCAAAGGTGGATTGCTGTAAAAAAGTTTGGTTATGAGCATTTTGCCAGAGATATAGACTGTGTGTTTTCATGGCTTCCGTTCTGAAGAAAGTCGGTGGTATGAAAAATTTGAAGGGTAATTTTTGAGTTCTGTGCCCCTCACAGCAAAAGACCAGAAAACTCTCTGTGTTCCATGCCACCATTCAAACCTATCGAAATTTTCTGAAGGGACCCAGCAGAAGACATGTCCATTCACAACCTGAGCCACAATACATTGATCATTATAAATGAAGCAAGAATCTCTCTCTCCTTAGAGCACAACAAAAGTGTATTGACCCTCGCTTAAAAAACAAGCATGGGGCTCCCAGAACAGCATGCCAAGAGAAAACCAAGGTGCCACTTACTCTCGTTTCACACATGACTTGAGAGAAAACAGCTTGCATTGCTGACAGTCCAACTTGCCAACCAGAACAAGAACACCTCCTTGCATGATGACCCTCGGTGACTGATAAACCATTGCTCACGACACCCAGTGGAAGTCATAAACTTCTGTATGATGGTGCATGCCATGCATCCCTTCTGAGCAGAAATTTACCTTGAAAGCAGAAAGGGTGATGTGGCAGTCCACAAGGATTGCTAAAATGGCCAGGCCCTGGCTTGAGGATTAAAGTATAAAGATAATATGGGGAATTTTGCGGAGTAGCATATCCACATGCTCCAGAAGATGACCTCCCGTAGGTCAAGTCCGCCAGAACCAAACTAAATCATACCAAAGGAACCATCATCATTTTTCCAAGTTGGATAACTCAACTGTCATCAAGGCTGGGCCTCAGCATCATGCCATTATACTTGATATTTAAGTCATCACCACTCCTCAGGGCAATATAAAGTACTCATCATTGGCCCAACAAAAGTATCTGCTAATTCCGTATATGTAGCAAAAACAGTCATATGCTCACCACAAGTCAACCAGGAACAGCGTTTGGGAAAATGTTTCAATTCCAGAGGATTCGTGGCCATTCACGTCATTACAGCCATTTGTTTTTGGGTTAGCAGCTTATTTCCAGGCCACATTCTGGCAGAAGAGGAGTCCAAATGAGTGACAAAAAGGAAACTGATACTTTAACTGGGAGGACAGTTCCCACAGACCTTTCTTCGAAATACATCCTGATAAGACAATACATATCAGTTGGAACCTATTTTCTGACAAAGTGTGCGATCCCCATGGATCAGGATCCAAAGAACACAGCATACCCAGGGTTCAGGGTGGTACATATTGAAAGCGTGTCCTCTCAAATCTAAAGCTATCAAGCGGTCTACAGTGTAGTAACTGGGTTTCTTGGGCAATATTTGGAATGCTTTAGTCTAGCCTCCAGCTTTCAGTCAGTGCGTTTTCGCCGCTTGAGATTTCTAGACTGTTGATGAATTCACAAGTGGATATAGTATCTACCTCTTATAATGTTTTCCCTCTGAATATGACTGGGGCCCACTATCCTTGTTTGCATCACCCTTCCACATTCCCTGATTCCTCAGAAGATGTGCAACTAAGGAGTGAGCTATGCACAAGTTGAGTGAAAGAATGCTTTAGTATGTATTCATGGCCTGCCTCTTCAGTTTGTCACATGCTCGACAAAGTCCTCTTCTCCCTGAGTTGAGAGGAGGCCATGGACATCATCAAACACCAGTCTTAGGGCATCCTTGGACCCTCATTGCTCCAGTCTCATACTGGTTTCAAAAGGAAAGGGACTCATACGGTTCAGAATTGCTTTTGCCTCCAGAACTCAGGGTACCATACCTAAGTGGCCCAAGGAACTTATGAATTGTGGTCATGATCCCAAACCCAGTCATGCTCTGTCAGAGCATGGTGCGTGCCATCCATTCAGCGTGGGCAGAATATTTCACTGACAGATACACATAGAGAATTTGTGGCATGGAATGCATGGTTAAAGTGCCCAGGAATAGTGAAAGGTTTGAAGACATTAAAATCGAATTTAAGTATTTCATGGAGTACTGATTCCACTGGGTGGAGTTCCCCTGGATAGCCTGAATGACTTAGAGTGCCACACAACTAAGCAATGTCAGTACAATACTCTCTCTCACGTCAGTATGCACACCTGTCACCTAAGAAAGTCCTCAACATAATTCTATTGCACAAGACTTTTAAGGCAACACCTCACTTGATCAAGACAAAGATTTCATCACTGACCCAGCTTAACACCCTCCTTTGCTGCATCCATCTGAAAGAGGCCCATGGGCTCCTCAGAAGTAACCTAATGCCAAGAGATTACTGGAGACTATTTGACTTTGTGAGGACATGAGGCCAGGCACCTGGATGACATCCTTAGTCCAGTATCTAACAGTTATTCTTAAGGACTTCTCTGAAGAAGGGATCCCTGTGAAAAAGTGGAGGACAGCTTGGGTGACGAAGCTTTCTAATATCCCCCTAATTTTGCTGTCTCATACAATCAGTTCATTCACATAATGATGATATTACATACCTACTCATGGGGAATCCGTCCAGTAGGCTGAGACAGAAGTTCTTCCATGAATGGAGTCACGTCCAGACAGGGTACTTATCATACAGTTTGGACATGCCTCCCTTACTCTCTCAGGTGATAAAGAGTTCCTGCTTCTCAGAGATGGATTTGTGTAGCAAAGCTTGGTTATGGGGCATTTTGTCAGGGATTTCACCCGTGTGTTCTCATATCTTCATTCGTGAAGAAACGTAGTGGTATAAAAAATGTAGGCCAGTAAATTTTGAGTTGTTTGCCCCCTCATGTCAGGAATCCAGGAGAGGACATGGCTATTCAAATCGTAAATCACAGATACACTGATTATTTTTAAAGAAGCATGATTCTCTTTCCTTAGAGCAGGACAACAGTGAATTCACCCTCCATTAGAAAATGAAACATGGGCCTCCTAAAACAGCATGACAAGAGAAACTCAAGGCACTGTTTTATCCTTTCTCAACCATGCGTTGAGAGAAAAACTACATGCATTGCTGAAGGTCCAGCTTGCCTCTCCCACCAAGAACACCTCCTTGAATGATGACCCTCGCTGACTGGTAAACCATTGTTCATGACAACCGAACGAGGTCCTGCACTCCTTTATGACGGTGCATGCCATGCAGTCCTTCTCAGCAGATTTTCCCCCTGAAAGACAAAACGTGGAGTTAAAAACGGTGTGTCCAAATGGAAACGGAAATTTCCACTGGGAGGCCTCTTCCCACAGACCTTTCTTCCGAGTATATCCTGACGAGACAATACATATCAGTTGGACATCTTTTTTTCTGGTACAGTTGGAGATACCCATGGTTCACAAGCCAAAGAACATAGCACACCCAGGGTTCGGAGTGGTACATATGGGATCCGTGTCCTCCTATATCTCAAGAGGTCTACCGTGTAATAATTTGGTTACCTGTGTAATATTTGGGATGTTTGTGTGTACCCTGCTGCTTTTACTCAGTGAGTATTCACGGCTTGACCTTTCAAGTGTGTTGATGAATTGACAAGTGGATATCACATCTACTTTGTTTTTGTCTCCGCTCAATATGACTGGAGCCCACTCTCCTTGTTTGTGTCACCGTTCCACATTACGTGATTCCTGAGAAGATGTACAACTAAGGCCATCGTCTGGCAGAAGTTGAGCGAAAGAATCCTTTAGCATATATTCACGGCCTACCTCTCTATGCTTGTCACACCCTCGGCAAAATCTTCTTCTCCTTGAGTGCAGAGGAGACCACGGACATCATCAAACTCCAGACTTAGTGTGTCTGTGGACATTCATTGCTCTATTCTTGTATATGTCTGAAGAGAAAAGGTCCTCATATTGGGTCTGAATTCCTTTTGCCTCCAAAACTGAGAGTCCCATGTCTAATCGTCCCTAGTGACCTTCTGAATTATGTTCATTCATACCAACCCCAGTCATACGGTGACAGCATGGTGTGGGCAATCCATACAGCGTGGGCAGAATATTTCACTGAGACAAACAAACAGAGATTTTGTGGTAGGGAAGGTGTGCTTCATGTGCCCGGCTTTTGTGGAAGGGGTGAAGACATTACAATCGAATTTGCCTATTTCATGGAGAACTGCTTCCTTGGTGTGGAGTCCCCTTGGATAGCCTATCCACCTTACAGTGCTCCACAACTAGAGCAATGTCAGGACCATCCTCCCTCTCGTGCCAGTATGCACTCCTGTCACCTACGAAGGGCTTCAGCATAAATCTATTGTGCAAGACTTTTCAGACAACATCTCGGTAGAGACAAGACCAAGATATCATCAGGGACCCAGATAAGCATCCTCCTGTGCTGCCTCCTTTTGAGAGAGGCCGCTAGGCTCATCAGAACGAACCGAATGAGACCACAGTAGTGGAGATTATTTTACCTCGTGAGGACATGAGGCCAAGCACATGGATAATGGATTTCATCCAGAAAATAGCAGTTATTCCCAAGGACTTCCCTGAAGAAGGGATCCCCGGGAAAATGAGGAGGACAGCTTGAGTGAACAAGCTGTCTAATATCTCCCTAATTTTGCTGTCTCAAACAATCGGTTCATGCAAATAATGATGAAATTAAATACCTATTCATGTGGAATTCATCCAGTAGGCTGAGACAGAAGTCCCTCCAGAATGGAGTCAAGTGCAGACAGGGTCCTTCTGATACAGCTTGGACATGCCTCCCTTGGTATCTCAGGTGGGAAAGAGTTCCACCTTCTCAAAGGTGGATTGCCATAACAAAGCTTGCTTATGGGGCATGTTGCCAGAGATTAAGCCTGTGTGTTTTCATGGCTTGAGTTCTGAAGAAAGCCTGTGGTAGGAAAAATGTTGGACGGTAATTTTTGAGTGGTGTGCCCCTCACATCAAAAGACCAGAGAATTCTCTGTGCTCCGTGCCACCATTCAATCCTAACGAAGTTTTCCCAAGGGACCCAGCAGAGGATATGTCCATTCACAACCTGAGCCACAAATGCATTGATCATTATTAAACAAGCATGAATCTCTCTCTCCTTAGATCAGGACCAAAGTGTATTGACCCTCGCTTTGAAAAACAAGCATGGGGTTCCTAGAAGAGCATGCCAAGAGAAACTCAAGGTGCCGCTTACTCCCGTTACACCCATGACTTGAGAGAAAACTGCATGCATTGCAGACGGTCCACCTTGCCTCCCAGACCAAGAACACCTCCTTGCATGATGACCCTCTGTGACTGATAAACCATTTCTCATGACACCCAATGGAAGCCATGCACTCCTGTACGATGGTGCATGCCATATAGCCGTTCCGAGCAGAATACTACTCTGAAAGTAAAAAGTGTGATGTGGTGGGCCACAAGGATTGCTAAAATGGCCAGGACCTGGCATGAGGATTCAAGTATAAAGATAACATGGGGAATTTTATGGAGTAGCATATCCACATGCTCCACCAGATGGCCTCCCGTACGTCAAGTCCTCCAGCACCAAACTAAATCGTACCGAAGGGACCATCATCATTTTCCCCTGTTGGATTACTCAACTGTCTTCAAGGCTGGGCCTCAGGGTCATGCCATTGTACTTGATATTTAAGTCATCACCGCTCCTCAGGGCAATATAAAGTACTCATCATTGGCCCAACAAAAGTATCTGCCAATTCCGTATATGTAGCAAGGACAGTCATATGCTCACCACAAGTCAACCAGGAACAGCGTTTGGGAGAATGTTTCAATTCCAGAGGATCCGCGGCCATTCACGTCATTACAGCCGTTTGTTTTTGGGATAGCAGCTTATTTCCAGGCCACTTTCTGGCAGAAGAGGAGTCCAAAATGCGTGTCCGAAAGGAAACTGATACTTCAACTGGGAGGCCACTTCCCACAGACCTTTATGCGAAATACATCCTGATGAGACAATACGTATCAGTTGGCACCTGTTTTCTGGCAAAGTGTGCGATCCCCGTGGATCAGGACCCAAAGAACACAGCATACCCAGGGTTCAGGGTGGTCCATATTGGATGCGTGTCCTCTGAAATCTCAAGCTATCAAGCGGTCTACAGTGTAATAACTGGGTTTAATGGCCAATATTTGGAATGCTTTTGTCTAGCCTGCTGTTTTCAGTTAGTCCGTTTTCGCCGCTTGAGCTTTGTAGACTCTTGATGAATTCACAAGTGGATATCGTATCTACTTCTCATAATGTTTTCCCTGTGAATGTGACTGGAGCCCACTCTCCTTGTTTGCATCACCCTTCCACATTCCCTGATTCCTCAGAAGATGTGCCACTAAGGCGTGAGTTGTGCACAAGTTGAGCGTAAGATGCTTTAGTATGTATTCATGGCCTGCCTCTCCAGTTTGTCACATGCTCGACAATGTCCTCTTCTCCCTGAGTTGACAGGAGATCATGGACATCATCAAACACCAGTCTTGGGGCATTCTTGGACCCTCATTGCTCCAGTCTCATACTGGTTTAAAAAGGAAAGCGACTCATACGGTTCAGAATTGCTTTCGACTCCACAACTCAGGGTACCGTGCCTAAGTGTCCCAAGGACCTTATGAACTGTGGTCATGAATCCCAATCCCAGTCATGCTCTGTCAGAGCATGGTGCGTGCCATCCATCCAGCGTGGGCAGAATATTTCACTGAGAGATACACATAGAGAATTTGTGGCATGGAATGCATGGTTAAAGTGCACAGCTTTTGTGAAAGGTGTGAAGACATTGCAATCGAATTTGCCTATTTCATGGAGTATTGCTTCCTCTGGGTGGAGTGCCCCTGGATAGCCCGAACGCCTTAGGGTGCCACACAACTAAGCAATGTCAGTAGAATACTCCCTCTCACGTCAGTATGCACACCTGTCCCCTAAGAAGGTCCTCACCATAATTCTATTGCACAAGACTTTTAAGACAACACCTCACTTGAGTCAAGACAAAGATTTCATCATTGACCCGGCTTAACACCCTCCTTTGCTGCATCCATCTGAAAGAGGCCCATGGGCTCCTCAGAAGTAAATGAATGCCAAGAGATTACTGGAGACTATTTGACTTTGGGAGGACATGAGGCCAGGCACCTGGATGACATCCTTAGTCCAGTATCTAACAGTTATTCTTAAGGACTTCCCTGACGAAGGGATCCCTGTGAAAATGTGGAGGACAGCTTGGGTTGGTGAAGCTTTCTAATATCCCCCTAATTTTGCTGTCTCATACAATTGGTTCATCCACATAATGATGATATTACATACCTATTCATGGGACATCCGTCCAGTAGGTTGAGACAGAAGTTCTTCCATGAATGGAGTCACGTCCAGACAGGGTACTTATCATACAGTTTGGACATGCCTCCCTTACTATCTCAGGAGATAAAGATTTCCTCCTTCTCAGAGATGGATTTGCGTAGCCAAACTTGGTTATGGAGCATTTTGCCAGGGATTTCACCCGTGTGTTCTCATATCTTCAGTCGTGAAGAAACGTGGTGGTATCAAAAATGTTGGCCAGTAAATTTTGAGTTGTTTGTCCCCTCATGTCAGGAATCCAGTGGATTCTCTTTCCACTGTGCCACCATTCAAACCCCTCTAAGTTTCCAGAAGGGGCCCAGCAGAGGACATGACCATTCAAACCGTAAAACACAGATACGCTGATTACTTTTAAAGAAGCATGAATCTCTGTTTCCTTAAGCAGGATAAAAGTGTATTCACCCTCCATTTGAAAATGAAACATGGGCCTCCTAGAACAGCATGCCAAGAGAAACTCAAGGCACTGTTTTTTCCTTTCTCAAGCATGCGTTGAGAGAAAAACTACATGCATTGCTGAAGGTCCAGCTTGCCTCACCCACCAAGAACACCTCCTTGAATGATGACTCTCGCTGACTGGTGAACCATTGGTCATGACAACCAAACGAGGTCCTGCACTCCTTTATGACACTGCATGCCATGCAGTCCTTCTCAGCAGATTTTCTGCCTGAAAGACAAAAAGTGTGATGTGGTGATCAGCAAGGCATGCTAAAATGGCCAGGAACGCTGATGAGGATTAAAGTTTAAGGATAACATGGGGAATATGATGCAGTAGCATATCCACATGCTCCACTTGATGGCCTCCGGTATGACAAGTCCTCCAGCACCAAACTAGATCATACCAAAGGGACCATCATCATTGCTCCCATGTTGGATTACACAAGTGGGCCTCAGCGTCAT